TGCGACAAGAAGAGCTGCGGCAACAGAAATGAAACCCCCTCCGACCCCGTTATCATTGACAGGTAAGGCTGGCTTTTTTATTTTTATTTTTTTAAAAAAAAAACACCACCACCAACAACAACTTTGCTTGGCTTGGCATTCAGTCCCTCCATATTTGGTAGTGGAGCGGTGGGTTCGTTTTGTGCATTGCACCATTTGTTGTCCTCTCGTGTTATCATGCACAGGTGGGTTGACTTGGAAACCTGGTGGCTCACTCTGTGGGGATTCAGTAATTGCTTGCGAGTTGTCAGGGGAAGCAGTTTCATCTGCCACTGCTCTCACTGTGAGGAGCACTTTATGCCTAGAGAGTTTTTGGCTTTAAACCCAGGGATATGTCATAAAATGCTTTTTGCTAATTTGTTAACAAGTTTTTCATATTTGCATTATTTTTGTCATTTCCGTTGCCCTTGGTTGAGACTTGGGTGGTACGGTAGTGCAATTGTTGCCCGGTGCTCGAATGAATTTAATCTGCTATCAATTAGTTGTGAGATGTATCCCAATTTTTTTCCAATTGTGGCTGTCATTTTATGTCAAATAGCAAATATGTAACTAATAAACCAAAGTTGCTATAATTGAAACTAATTACACATGCCGGTTGCGTATTCCAACATGAATTTACATACCTAGATTAACTGTATGCCTTCTTCACTCTGCCTCTGCTGTGTTTTGCTGCTCCCCGTGTTTGGTAAAAGCGCGTGTGTTCAGAAAATTTGCATCGAATGCCAGGTAAATCTATTTTAGCATTATTTTCATCGTAAAAGATTGTGTTTTTGGCAGCAGTGAAGCAATTTTTTCTCGACAGCGTGGTAGCAGCAAAAGTCAATTTCTGACGGACCGTAGATGTTGAAATAGGTCCCTCAAAGTAATAAATGGAAGCAAGAAATGTGCATATGACACCAGTATTGCGAAGAAGAGGGCCAGGCTGTTTTGAAGAAGGCTTGTATTTCAGTAGCTTTCATTACAAAGTTATCTTTTGATCATGAACTTTGCTGTCCAGTGACTGAAAAATTAAACCTGGAGAACTCGGCGAGTTAAGCCTAAAGAAATATGCACCACCAGTGGAGAGCAATGCTAATGTTTAACTAGCTGAAATAGCTGTTTGCTTAGTGGAGAATGTGAGGTATCTGACAGAAGGGACATCTCTCTTATTAGTAATCAAATAGGGCTGACCAGTTGTTGCCATCACTCTGGGATTCTGTCAGGCAATTGAGAACAAGTTCAACACTTTATAGAACTCGAAGTACAAAAATCAATATCATTATATTTGTCTTTAGTGTTTTAGCTATGGAAATCATATAGCACTGGATTGTTGCCTTGTGAGCTGAATTTATTTCTGCTTTATTGGCTGAAAACATTTGGAAGCGGAGGGATGTCGGTGGAATAGCCAACGCAGGAGCGCGCGCCAGAGTTTCCGTTCCTGCGCTGCGGGCATGGTCATTGTTGGGAGTTTGCAAGACGTGCGCGATGTGTTCGGATGTAGATGACGAATTGCGTTGAGGTGCGGCCACTGCAGAGCACCAGAAAATGTGCTGGAAATGACAATTAGAAAAATACTTGGCTGTTAGGTGCTCGGTCAGACTTCCATTTAGAGATATGGTCAGGGTGAGCATTTCTTGCCTCTTGAATGTACGTTGACACATTTACAAGCAGTTTGTGTTTATAGTCCATATGTGCAATGAAATGCAATGCAAATGATGCTTTTGCAATAATTAGGGATTATATTGATACGTAACTAATAATGTGCTTGAATCACGGCGAGTCAAATTATATTAGTTCTGCGAAGGGTGATCCCAACAAAATCGCAGTAAGCTCTGCGAGATCTCTGCTTTTGTACCCTCTCCAAACTCTCGGAAGTATGTTACAATTTGATATTCTAGAAGCATGAGAAGATATAAAAAATCAGAAAACATTTGGTTAATGGGTTTATCATGTTTATTTGAATAAGGAAGATTGAAACTCCATTTATGCCTAGCATAAATGCTTTAGAGATCTTAATTATTGATGAAAAATCTGCTGTGCTTCTAAATTTAAAGATATGGCAATTTTATAGGAATTTTAATCACCTTCTGCATTAGGATTTTTCAAGGTTTTGCATTTATGAGAACGGGACCTATTTTAGCCTCCTAAAGAGAGTTGTCACGTATAATGTCAACACACTGCTCGAACGCTCCTGCGCGCCGCGGGTGCCTTAGGAAGGAGTTGGGTGCGATGCTCCTCATCTCAAGATGTGCTTTTGAAAAGCCCCTGAACGTAACGTTCACCGCGAGCAAATCGCAGCAGCTGGGCAAGGAGGGCGCGTGTGTGAAAAAGCCCTGTCAGGCAGATAGTCCTGTGAAACAATTGGGGTGTATTTTAAATTCCTAATAATAATTTACATTTGCTCGATCCACGCATTAATATAGTTTGTTACCTGCGTTTGTTGCCGGTGCTGAATTCCTGGTTTGTGTTTCCTCCTGAGCGTCACAGAAGCAAATTTCCCCCATCAAATTTGTGGGTCAATTTACAGTTGCCCATAAGAAGTGCTATGTTGGCTTAAAGAAAGAATTATATACAATATGTTTCAGCAGATCCCTTTGTCCTTTGGATACGTTTAGCAGCTTTTGACCAGATAAGGCATATTTGTCCTCGGGATACAAACCAATAATTCAACCCTGAATTGAGATCTATGGCCACCCATTTGTTGTAGCCCACACTGAGAATCTGGGTGAGGATCTGAATTGTTTATCACACTAGGAGAAAAGGGGGAAAAAACGCAACTCTTGTGCTTCAGGAGTACTGATTTCTTAATGTTTAAAATACTTTAAACAAACTTATGTGAATTGTACATTTGAATCCCGCAGTAGATTTTAAATGTAGGAAAAGACAAAGGCCATGAAAACAGTTTTATATTTTGCACGCCTTCCCAGCCTTTTAATTCGCTGGGAATATTTACTTACATCAACTTGCTTTTTCTCATGAAGCATGGCTGGGGATATACAGTTTTATTACAGTATACATTTAAATATATTCTAGCGTATCAGGGCTATTCAGACAACATAGTAACTCACATAGTAAAGAACAACCCCACCATAAATTGTAGTGCAGTCAGTAAAAAGATGCCACAGAAAAAGTGTCCCTGGGAAATTAGATTGACCCAAAGAAAAGCAAATAAAAGAAAGGAAAAGGCCCATATTTTCTTTGCGGTGTTGCTGAAAAGGATGGGAGTATCATTTTCATAGTGGAATAATGTTTTCTGGGAAAACACAAAAGCAGATGTTCCTCATTAGGAACACCCATTGTCTACATATCACAACTATGAACAGATAAATCTATCCTATTTCACCCATACATTCCAATGGCTGTAAATGATTACAGGGTGCCGCTGGAACTGCTAAACCAAAACCACTCTGTGTGCTAAAATAATTCTTCGGTGCCATCGCGGGGTGTTTTATTAGCAGGTACGGAAATTCCCGGTAAGATCCATCCTCTGGACTTTTCCTTGCCTTGTTTGCCTTGAATGTATATGAAGGCTCAGTGTCCAACTGTTGAAAACTGAAAAGAGTGATTGTGGCGGAGCCGGGCGGCCGGATTACATTACTATCCAAACATGAAGTGGCAGCTCGGCGCTGGAGCCGCGGCGGGGCTGCCCGCGCGCCCGGAATGCGCTCGCAGCGCCGGCCCCATCGCTCCGCAGCGCTTTTCCAGATGGTCCTATCACCGGCATACTGCTCGTTGGCATCTCTGTGGGTAGTAAATACCCCCCTCCCCAATAAATCTGGCATTATTCTATAGAGTTTAGGGGACTTATCATTCCAAGTGTGTCCTACTTTCCTGTATGGAAGCCAGACATCTGTTTATCCCATTTCTTTCATACAGAGTTTGGAATAGCTTTAGTTTTGGGGAATAAAAAGTTTTGTCATATTTAACAGCTGTTACAAAATTTCAATCCTGTAGGCTCTTAAAATACTTTTGAGCTGACCTCAGATTTTATACGGAATTGACGCTGCTCGTAGACACCCCCCTTAACCTCTCGCTGCCCACGATCTCGCATTATTTTCCCTAAATGAGTTGCCTGTTCACACCAGGGCTCTTTACAGCGGAGCCCCGCTAAAGAGCCCTAGTTCATTTAAACTACAAGTTTACACCTTTAAAGCAATTGTGGAGCGGGCGCTGGAGCCGGCTGGGAGTTTTTCCCTATTTTTTTATTTTTTTTTAGTCAACAGTGTTTCCTTTCACTTCCTGTCACAAAGGTCAAAGAAAGGCGACCTTTGCTGGCAGTCCTAGTCACTGAATTATTCATGTGATTGACTTTTTGTCAGTGCACACAGTTGTGCTCTGGGACATTTTATTCATTTACCTCATTTAAAGCGCCTTTCTGCACCTGTTCAAGTATTAATATCATGTAATTTGGGCCTAATGCCGATTTTGCTGAACACTCATTATATTTTTTATTAGCTATATTTCCAAACGATTATGTATGATTATTACCGAGCCTTACAAACAGCAATGGGTTATTCCCTAGACCTTTACATCTTCTTGTCAGGTTGTTTTCAGAAGCAAGGAGGATAAACATTTGACCAGTCCCAATGTTTTTATTCCTACTCCATATCCAACCAGAGAACTTAAAGCTTTTTCCCTTATGGCTTTGCGAAAGCATGATTAAATCCAACTCTGCCGAAGCTGTACAAATGCCAGCATTTATAAGGTCAACGCTTTTGTTAAAAATGCTATGTAAATGAGGATCTGCAAAAAGGGACATTAAATAAAATTAAATTCATTGTCTTCTTTAATGTCATTTACATTTTGGCTAAGCCCTGGCCTGTCAAGGAGGATTTTTTAAATAATTTTAATTACACATCATTTAGAGATCCAAGGTTTTCTATTCAGTAGCATTTGGATAACCTGCAAAATGGTGACTGTTTATTAACTTCTTAAATGACAACTTGTCATTTCATCTGCATAATGCAATGAAAACAGAAGAATTTTGTGTCTTTTTTATACTAAAAAAAATCTTATTTTTCTTTAAGACGTGCATGTAACTATT